CCGATGGGATACCTCCACCGGTCCGTGGCCTTCCTCCTCCTCCACACCCAGCCTCCAGACATCCTGGGCTGAAGTTGTGATCCGCGACAGAAAGAGACTCCAGGATGCGACTGCCTCTCCTCCTCGCCTGAGCCTCTCCAATCGCTTTGAGGCGCTAGCAGACAACCCAGATCTTTGCCCGGTTAGCATAGCTCAAGCTAGCCAACGTGCTAGCCCCGCCACTAGCTCTCTGCACACGGCTGCTGGTGGTTGTGCAACGCCTGGCTCTGGAAAAGCCGCTGGCCCCTCTCTGCCTGCTGCTACTGGTGCTTCGCCCTCGGGCTCAGGTAGCTCCACATCTGGGGTAACGTTAGCTAGTCCTACACCTGCGGCTGATGGCGTCCCTGCGGCTTCCCGCTCCAATGGCCCCGCGGTCCCCAGTGCCGTGGCGGTTGCTGGGGCGCCGTCTCCCCGCTCTAGCTGCCCTGCCTCTGGGATCATTGTGGTTGGCTCCACACTGGCAGCTGGTGGTGTACCTGCGGCTCACCGCCCCGGCGGCCCGGCGCAAATGGGTGACGTGGAGCCCTCCTCCCCGCCAGCACCTGCCGGTACCCAGAGTTGCTCTGCTGCGGTCCCGCATCACCAGCTCTACTACCTCTGCTTCACGTCGCAAATTCTTGAAGTAAACCGTCCTCAGACGCTCCGGAGGCCTCCTCCACCCCACGCTCCCGGCAGACTCTCCTCCTCCTAGGGCTGTAATGGCTGATCCACCGCAACACCTGTCCGACCGTGCCCGGTCACCGATCCTGCGGCCAGCGGATGACCCGGATGCTGGCTCGCCACCATCCAACCCGGCAAAAACCCTTCCATGCCGCTCTTCCCTCCAACCACCCTGATCATCGGAGACTCCATCACAAGGAATATCCGCTTCTTCAGTGCCACTACCTGTTGTTTTCCCGGAGCCACAGTCCCGATAATCCTGGGAAAACTCCCTGGGCTGCTGCAGTCACTCCCTTCCTCCATTATCCGCATCGTGGTGCACGTAGGGACCAACAACCTGGCTCGGGGCGCCTCTGAGCGGACCAAAAGTGCTTTCACCTCCCTCCTGGACTTCCTACGCACTTGTGGAAAGTCCGTTTTAATCTCCGGTCCCATTCCCACACTTGGTCGCGGGGATGCTTGCTTCTCCAGGCTGCTCCTGCTGAATACCTGGCTCAGGCCTACCTGTTACGCTCGAGGCTTCAACTTCGCCGACAATTTTAATCTTTTCTGGAACCGTCCCTCTTTCTTCAAACACGATGGCATTCACCCTACCTCCCTGGGAAGCCGCACGCTGGCAGCCAATATTCAGCATGCCGTACATCACACGCCATGTGCATGACTATTTACATCACACGCCTCCACTGACACACTTCCTCACCCCGTTCCAACTGCAGCACAGAGCACAGCCCCGCTCACCAGCGCCCCCGTCCGACCATATCAAACATTAACCCTCCCACCTGTGACATTCCCCATACAGTCCATCATAAAGCACAGACCACCCTGCCCTTACTGCACTAAGACTGTGAATTACAAAAACCTATCCCCCATCTTCTGCACTCCTGCCACCCCCTGTACTACTCAAACCCTACAACAACTGAAACTGGCTCTACTCAACACCCGCTCACTGACCAACAAAAGTGCCATCCTACATGAATTCATCACTGACAATAAACTGGACTTCCTCTGCCTCTGCCGAAACCTGGCACAAACCCCTGGATTACTTCTCCCTAAACCAGACCACAGCCACTGACTACACCTACACCGACAAACCCCGCCCAGACGGACGGGGTGGTGGCGTTGCTGCCATCTACAAGAAACGCTTTAAAATATCCACAATCTCCATACCTCCTGCTCAGTCCTTCAAACAAGTCACCCTCAAACTGTCTGGTCCCACTTCCCTGGTCATTGCCATCATCTACCGCCCTCCCAAACCAAACAACTCCTTCCTCTCAGACCTCGCCGAATTCCTCACCCAGCTATCCGCCGTATCCCCCTCAATTCTCGTGCTGGGGGACTTCAATATCCACATCGATGATCCAAACTGCAAAAGTGCAATAGACCTCCTGGAACTGCTCCACTGCCTTCACTTCACCCAGCATGTCAACTTCCCCACCCACTGTCGCGGCCACATCCTGGACCTAGTCTGCTCCGCCGGTCTCACCCTTCACCAACTCTCCAGTACTAACCTCCACATCTCGGATCACCTGGCCACCACTGTGGACTTCAAGACCCCTCTCCCTCCCCCAAAACTCAAACGTATTATTCTCCCTGGTACACTCCTGAACTCCATCACATGAAAACCCATAAGCGCCAGCTTGAAAGACTTTACAAGAAAACCAGTCTCACAGTCCATCTCCATGCCTATACAGACCACCTTTCAAACTACAAAGACGCCCTCACTGCCGCCTGGTCCAGCTACTACTCACAACTCATTCACTCTGGCTCCAATAACCCCAAGACTCTCTTTTCCACCGTCAATAAACTCCTCAAACCCTGCGACAAAGACCCTGCAATCAAAGATCGAAACCATTTACACTCAACTCAGCAACTTCCCTCCTCAACTTCCCTTCTCAAAATCACTAACGACCTCCTCCTCTCTGCCGACTCTGGCCACCTCAACATACTCATCCTCCTCGACCTCACAGCTGCCTTTGACACCATCAATCACACCACTCTGCTGTCCCGCCTACAAACTTCCTTCAACATCACTGGCTTTGCTCTCTCCCCGCTCAAATCATACCTCACCGACAGACATCAGTTCATCCACGTCAACAACTGCACCTCTGCCACCATCCCCCTGCTTCAAGGTGTCCCTCAGGGCTCGGTGCTTGGTCCTCTCCTCTTCATCATCTGCCTACTCCCCCTCGGTTCCATCATCCGTCGTCATGGTCTCCATTTCCACTGCTAAGCTGACGACATCCAAATCTACATCTCCACAAAATCCATCACCCCGGCCACCCGCTCTACCCTCACCAACTGTCTGACTGAACTCCAATCATGGCTGCAAGCCAACTTCCTCAAACTCAACTGTGACAAATCTGAAATAATACTCATCGGCCCAAAATCCTTCTCTACAGCAACACAAAACTTCACCCTCAGCATTGACAACACCACCCTCTCACCCTCCCCATTCATCCGCAACCTTGGTATCATCTTCGACAATAACCTCTCATTTGAACGTCACATCAGCCGCCTCGCCCAAACTGCCTTCTTTCACCTTAGAAACATTGCCCGTCTCCGTCCATTACTCTCCTTCTCTGCCGCTGAAACTCTCATCCATGCTTTCATCACCTCAAGACTGGACTACTGCAACAGCATCCTCTACGGCTCATCATCCAAAGTCCTCAACAAACTTCAGTACATCCAAAACTCTGCTGCCCGCCTCCTCACCCACACCAGCTCCCGTGAACATATAACCCCTGTCCTGCAAAACCTACACTGGCTCCCTGTCCCGTACAAATCAATTTCAAGATCCTCCTCCTCACCCACAAAGCCCTCCACAGCCAGGCCCCCTCCTACCTCACGGACATGCTCCACCACCACACTCCCTCCCGCAACCTTCGATCATCCGACAAAAACCTCCTCTCACCCCCATACAGGACCAAACACTGAACCTGGGGCGACAGAGCCCTCTCCATAGCTGCCCCCTCCCTCTGGAACACCCTCCCTATACACATCCGTGACTGTCCAAATCCATCCACCTTCAAATCACTCCTCAAAACCCACCTTTTCAAATCCGCTTTTAACCTTTAACATTAGCTTTTCGTCCTTGGTTCCTCATGTGCCCTCCTTTTCTTTGTTTTGCACTATGCTTTTGCACCTTGTTGTTTTATATTGTCCTTGTCTGCTGTTTATGTCTTTGCACTTACATGTATGTACTTCTTTTCTTTCCTTTTTAAATGTAAAGCATCTTTGAGAGCTGTAAAAGCGCTGCATAAATAGAATGTATTATCATTATTATTATTATTATTATTATTAATTTAACATCTGACATGCTGAGCAAGACAGAGCAGAAGGGTAATTATTGAAGTATTTAGGGGCAGCTGAGACACACACCAGGCTCTAAAGTTGCCATTGTAGATGCTCATTTACATGAGAATTCATGTAAAATGGAGGTTGAACCCTGAACAGAAATCAAAGATCGCCTCTAAATCATTTTAACAGGCTTCTCTGTCATAATTAAAACACCTGGAGACTGTGGACAAACTGATATACGGGTCTGAAAAATGTTAATAAATTGGAATCAGATCTAACAGCATGTGAGTGTTTCTGGGACTTCCTGTTGCAGACTGAAGGCTGCTGGTCTATTGCTGTACAGAGCAGATTTAAGGTATGTAACAGAGTTGTAAACAGTCATTGAATGTTCAGGATTAGTGAGGGAGAAAGCAATAAAATGATCTGTTATGATGCATTTTGACTCAAAGAAGAAGTTAATCTTGAGCCTGTAACACAGTAACATCACCCGCATACTCTTTAACTTATTCATTTTACCATGAGTTGGATGATGTGAAGCATGCAGCCTTCGTTTTGTGCTGTGGAAGGAGAGGTGTTGGATTCTGCTGACAGTGATATCTTCTCTTGCACCAACACAACTGCTTACATAAATAGCAAACCTGCTAAAGTGTGGACATAATAACTGTGTGCAGAGCCTTTGACCTTCTAGTGTAACTGATGTAGGCGGTGATGAAATTTGAACGTAAATGGTTAGCTGGAAATGCATGATAGACACAGGTGTGAACTGTGATGAGTCTTGGCTGTCCACTTGTGTTCAGATCACTGAAAAATGTCAATGTCAGGTTTATACAGCCTCACTGATTTGTTTATTACAATTATAATTTCCATTGTACAAAAAGTCAGATATGTTGCTGAAAAGTAGCTCATCAAGACCTGGAATGCAAATGTGTATAGTCAAGTGTTCTCTAGCATCTAGCTGATGTACATGGACCCTAAAAACATGGCATTTCTCTTTCTCTATGCAGGGGTATAAAAGGACTACTGGACACTAAGGAGCTGGGCCTGAAGATAGTGGAAGATTATGCCAAGTCATGGGCATGGATACTCATGTAACTACACAAAAACACACACACACACACACATACACACAAAGACAGCATTTGTGTAAAACCACATCTACACTTGCCTCAAAGATATGTACTTACCAACACTTACTAGTCAGAGGTAGTGTGTGACTAGACTAATACCGATGCTTCTATCAGTACTGATACTGCTATCACTCTGCTTTTGTCTTCTTTTTCAAACCTTTCTAATTAGTTTCTAAGTTGGCATCACTTGTGTCATATCCGCATTAACTACTTTTTAATTATCCATTAATATTTAAAGTTTATTCCCTCAAACAAATCTGTTACGGTGCCCTTGTAAGTCTGTCACAAGTTAACAGTTGTAATTCCTAACATTTGGAGACACCTGTGACTACTGTAGTAACACCAAGTGCAAGTTAATACTAGAGTCAGCAAGAGCAGCTGGTACATACAACTGTTTACATGAATGTTCTGTTTGCATCAGCAGCTCTGCATGATGTAAAGAGAGTAAACCGAAAGCCAACAAAAACTACTTAATAGAATGTAATTACATTGTATGGACCATACATAGTATCCATAATAGGGTTTGTTCCAGGTAAGTGTTTTATTATAATTAAGATTTAACATTTCTAAATGCAAATGAATCCACCAAACCCTCACACAACTTCTGCCTCACCACTGACAATCTCACTCTGCGTTCCTCCCCACACATCTGCAACCTCGGAGTCATTTTCGAAGACAACCTTTCTTTCCAAAAACATGTCAATCACATCACCAGTACTGCCTTCTTCCACCTAAAAAAACATAGCTCATCTCTGCCCATCACTCTCCCCCACTGCTGCACTCAAAAAAATAACTTGTTCGCTTAACGCTATAAAATGTATTTATTTGAAATTTTAATTCAGGGATAAACCCCTTGAGATGCACCATCTTGTTTTCGAGTGGGTCCTCCAACACAAAACAAACATTCAGCAAACATTCTACAAACATTAAACAACAGCAAACAGAATCAAAACAAATAAATTCATAAATAATAATAACCAATTAAAGAATCAAATAACACACACACATCAAAGTCAAGACATCATCTACAGGACATACACATAAGGGCTCTCCCACCATCTCAGACCACAGCTACTTCAATGGTCACAGATAAATAAATATAATCAAAAGCAAGAACAAGAACAAGTGGATTTAAGGTAAACAAGCAAAGAAGTCTTATAGAAATAAAAAGAGGTAATCGATCTGAGTGAATTAGGCAAATTATTCCAATCTGGTGCTTTAAACTTAAAAGCATGTCTCCCAATTTCTTTGAAGATTCTTGGCACAATAAAGAAAGGCTGCTGGGTGTGTCTAAGTCAATATGATGGAGTGAAAGGAACTAGAAGCTGTTTTAAATATAAAGGATAATTAATGTGAACCATTTGAAAAAAAAAAAAAAGCAATCGATGAAAATGTCTTCTCAAGTGAAGTGGTAGCCAACTGTGCTTCATACATAAAGCAATGATGTGCGCAATAAGGACACCTCAAAACAAATCTACAGATATTATTATAAACTACATTTTAAGGATGAAGATTTGTTTCAGAGGTGTTTTGATATATAATATCACCACAATCAATAATGGGAAATAAAAGCTGCTTAGCACTAGATGTGCTCTCTTTAATCCACTGCTCATTATTATCCACTTCTCATTATTATCATTATTATTATTATTGTTATTATTGTTATTTATAGTCGTTTCTTGTATTTTTTGTACATTATTTTGCATGCCTAGTTTTTAAGTTTTAAGTTTTTAAGTTTAAATTTTTAAATCTAATCTGACTCTTTCCCCTTGACTGCTGTAACACTGGAATTTCTCAATTGTGGGATCAATAAAGGTGTATTTGATCATATCTTATCTTAACAATTTGTTTTCATACTCGAGGAGTAAAACAACTGATTGACCTATATAATATTCTGAGACTTACCCTTAATTTATATTTAATGTAATCAATATGAGATCTAAAAGTAAGTTCAGAATCTAGCCAAAGTCCCAAGTATTTAAATGCCAGTAAAATTAATAGCAGATTCAGCAGATAGGTGCTTAAGGTTATACTTATTGCCAAATAGTCTCGCTCACCAGACCGGGCCGACTCTCACTTTGAGATTGGAGAAAAAAAACGCCCTGGCTGCTTGTACTTCTTTCAACCAATCACAATCGTTCTGGGCGGTGCCACAGCAACGGTGCGCTTGCAAAAATATTGCTGTGGTATGGTTTTGGTGTAACACGCCCACAAAAATATCACCTACAGGACGCGAACCATGGCAGAAAAATGGCTACATCCCCGCAAGATCAAACACCGCAAAAGTTAGTAAAGGACGTGTTGAAAACGGTTGAAAACTGCTACACAACCGGAGGTGGTAGGGCGGGACTTCAGCGGATGGCTCGTTCCGCCCAATGAGAGGCTGATCTCTGCAGCGAACTTCCGCCCACTCAGACTTATTGCCAAATAACATGCTACAAGACTTCCGTTTGTTTAGTATGAGATTATTATTAAAAAACAATTTTTGAACAGAAGAAAACTCTGATTGCAGAGACCTTTGGATTTTAGCTATATCAGAGTCAGATGTGTATATAACCTTGTCATCAGCATATAACTGAACAGAGCAATTAGAACAGATATCTGTAAGATCATTGATAAAAATTGAGAATAGTAAAGGTCCTAATATTGATCCTTGTGGTACTGCCTTTTCAGCAATTAAATAATAGGATTTATTGCGAAGAGAAGAAACACATTGACGACGATTATGAAGGTAAGAATTAAACCAACATAATGCTTGTTGAGACACACCAATAGCATGTAGTTTGTCCAAAAGGAGATAATGATCCTCTAAATCAAATGCTTTGGTTAAATCGATGAAAATAGCACCAGTAAACTGACCTTTATCTAAGGAGGAAAATATATCATTAGTAAATTTTGCAAGGGCAGTTGTCGTAGAAAAATTAGGACAAAAACCAGATTGAAAAAGGGATAAAATATTGAAATCATTAATATATTGTGATAATTGATTATGAATTAATTTTCAATATTTTAACTGTGGTGCAAATAATAGAAATAGGTCTGTAATTATTTAAATCCAGTGGTTCACCTCCTTTATGAAGTGGAGTGACTTTGGCATATTTCCAAATACTTGGGAGTTTACAAGTAGATAGGGACAGATTAAATAAATCGGCAAGTGGAAAAATAAGCACTTGAGAGGCTAATTTTATAGATTTAGCCTCTAAGCCATCAGGCCGAGGAGCACAACTAACATTTAGGCTAGAAATGACCTGCATGATTTCAGTGGGTAAGATACGTCTAAAGGAAAATGAGCTGCTGGTAGTTGAGTTAAGGAAGGTGATACAAAAGAATACACCCTACAAGGAGCGATAATGGCAGGGTCATGGACAACTTCCTCATAATATGGATCTGGGCAGAAGGGCTCTTACTGGGACTGAGAATACTTTTCAAACTATTGGAAAAATCTTGAGAAAGACTATCTCTATAATAATTGGACTTAGCATTCCTATTTTTTTTTTTAACAGATTCCTTAATTGTCTATATGCTTCCCAGTCAGCTGGATCCTTAGATGTTCGATATTTAGCCCAGGCCTTATCTCGAAGTTTAAAATGATAAATGAGATCTGAAGAGATCCATGGTAAATGTCTTCCTTTGACTTTCATCATTTTCCAAGGGGCATGTTTATCAATAACTTTGCTAAATTCACTCAAAAGAAAATTCAATGCATCTTCAACATGAGGTATCAACTGAAATCTATCCAAGTCTATTGCAGTAACATCATGAATAAAGAGGTCAGTATTCATGTTTTTACACTGTCACACATTAATGTATCTTGGATGCAGATGAGGGATTTTAATTTTCCAAACACAAAACATAATAGAATGATCACTGAAACAATCAGGAAGCACCTCTGATTTAATAATCCTATCTGGGTGAAAAACAAATATCAAATCTAGCAGGGATGATGATGCTTCAGTTACTCTGGTAGGTTCAGTAATCAATTGAGTTAAATCTGTGCTATCATTTGAAGCAGAACGATCAAACCAGTTGACATTAAATCTCCTAAAATAATCAATTCGGATGGAGAATTAAGAGAGCCGATTGTAGACATATACATTTAGTGGATTCGGAAGGTGCAGATGGAAGCCTAGTGTTTATTTCCATGAGAACTTATCTTAATAAAAAGGCACTCAAAATACTCAGGGTCAATTTGGGGAATAATAACATGTGACATAAATCTAGAAGCAACATACTGTAAGTTGCCACACCTCCACCTCTACTGCCTCTATCCAATCTAAACAAAACATCAATTTGGATTTCCTCATCAGAAATACTACTTTTTAACCAAGTTTCAGAGAGAGTAATAACATTAGGTCTGTAGTGAGAAACCCAGGCTCTCAAAAGATCGATTTTTGAAAGAAGGCTCCTAATGCTCAAATGGATAACTCTTAAACTTTTTACAGTATCAATGTTGAGAAAAATAAAAATTTAGTATGACAGTTACATACATACATACATAGTTAGTCAGATGAGAATGGGATGAGAAGAGAGAGGAGCCACAAAAGAAAAAACACAAGTGTCCACATACACAGACATAACCATAACAGAGACATGACATAAAAGAAGACAAAAATGATTTACACATAAACAAAAAGAATGACACTGTAAGGCAGAGGCACAATTTACATGCCCCATCTGCAAAATTAAGAAGGTGAGGGTTAACAACGCAACTATAGAAATAAAATGCAAGAAACAGATATGTAACAATCACAGAAGACCCTCACAATATAATACAACAGGTAATACTAATAATTTCCTTTTATTTAAACTTTAAACTCCATTTAAACTTGAATGATATAATTATGAGTTACTTAATTTAATAGGGCAGTTACAACTACACTGAAAAAAGGAACATGTTGGATTAACTTAATTCAATAGTGGACATTGGTTCCACATAGATGTTTTGCTTTGGCAGCAATTTA